TAATGTATCATTATAATACGTTAAAGTATGGTTTCGTGTGTAATAATGCCGTTTCGTGTCTAAGCAAATTACGCTCCAAAGCGTTAGGTGGCGTTACTCGGTTTAGAACGTAAGCTCCACCCCTCACTTCCGGTCCTGGCGCTGGTGTTAGAACGTAAGCTCCGCCCCTTACTTCCGGTTCTGGCGCTGGGGTTCTGAAACTGGTGGTGCTGCGGGTCTGCAGCTGGATACTATTGGATTCAGGGGCTGTTCACATGACACCATTTTAAAATAAAACCGTAAAAAAATGTATGCGTTTTGACTTCAATTACACGACAACGGTGTTTAGGGGGCTCGAAAATGCTAACTTTTGAAAACGGGTTTCAAAGTGCACGTTTTTTAAAAGTTTATTGTCCGTTATCGTTATACTACAAAAAATCGTGAAGTCATGCATATTAGATGTTCAGTCATAGGCACATAGTGTTTCTTTACAAAGTGACATCGCCAACTACTGGCCTGGCATGCATAATACATCGGTTTTCGCGGTGTCAACAGGGATTGTTTTGACAATGTTGTCTTCTGTAGGCCGAAAATTTAAAGGAAAAACTTTTCTGTTTTTACATCATTGTCGTGTAAACGTACCCGATCTTTTCCATCTATATTGGTTCTTAAGCCTAATAGTGAATGTTTTATGAGCAGTACGACTTATAAATTAGAACTAAATTAAAGCAAGTCATCGTGAAGAGGCAAAAACAACACAAGAAGTGCTTAAAATACAAAGTGGAGGCATTTCTCAGAGTAGCATGAGCCAGAGAAGGGAGGATTAAGGGAAAAGGAAAGTATATTTTTATTTTTATGAGGTTAAGTGCTCACGGAAGTGATGAGTTTTCAGTTGTCTTTTGAATGTTGTCAGGGATTCTGCACCAGCATGGAACCGTGAATGAGAATGTTCTAGAGAGTGATTTTTTGGCTCTCTGATGGTACCACGAGCCGTCGCTCATTGACTGATCGTAGGCTTCTGGTAGGGACGTAAACGCGTAGGAGCGAGTGAAAGTAGGAGGGAGCTGAGCCTGTGATAGATCTGTAAGCAAGCGTCAATGCCTTGACCTTGATGCAAGAAGCGAGTGGAAGCCAGTGCAGAGAGATGAACAGAGGAGTGACGTGGGCTCTTTTGGGCTCGTTGAAGACGAGATGAGCTGCAGCGTTCTGAATCATTTGTAGAGGTTTAGTTGCACATGATGGAAGTCCAGCCAGAAGAGCATTACCGTAATCCAGCCTAGATATGACCAGGGCCTGGGCGAGAAGTTGTGTTGCATGCTCAGTTAGGAAAGGCCTGATCTTCCTGATGTTGTGCAGTGCAGCTATAATAGGCTAAAATAGGCTAAAATTATAATAGGCTAAAATTATGATTTCCATTACACGAGAGTAGATGTTAAAACTTCATGCTGATTTGTTCTCGGCTTTCGCCAAAATAAGCACGAACTAAGACGTAGCTTTACAGTAACCTATGCTTCTCCATCCATTTACACTTCCTTCCTTATGGTGATGTGAATCTCCTTCTGTCCGGCGTTAACGGCTGCAGTGTACTTGGCGGGTCAGCACACAAGACGGCTGCAATAAGAGTGTGGTCTCCCCAGTGGACCAGCACGACAACCGTCTGGATTGAGCCGAGTAGGGGACATCTCTAGGGTCTTAAAGTGGGCACCTTCCATCCTCAGTGTTTCGTCGACTAGCCCACGACACCTCAAGAGGGCTCGACAGTGACTCTGGCGTCCCAGAGTCACCCCCCTCTGTCCCCCACTCAACTCAGCCCAGCTTACTGACCTTTACATCCCTCCTGCTGCTGAGGTTGCTCCTTCCTCGTAGTTCACATGTGACCTAACCACAATCTCACAATCTCTCCGCAACCCAACCATACGCGCCAACCCGTTTGACTAAGGCTGTCGAGCCCTACTGTCTTCGTTAAAGTAGGTTCAGTGGCAACGGTTCCGTATGGCAAACTACCTACCGCAAAACACCATATCTGCCCAATCACCAACCCTCAGTCACGCAATATACACAGGAACGTAATAACTGTACTTACTATGCAAACTATACAAATAAACCAACAGACTCTTCGAGTTTTTCAAGAATTCTACGAAACCGTAGCGTGGCGGCCTGTACACAGCCAGCCAGAATCTTTCCGTCTCAACCACAGCCAGTTGCTGCTCCTCTCTGCTGCTTCAGATAAGTTCTTTACTGTGCGACGCAACTCTTGGCCACTGAATCCGACGTCTCTGAGGAACCGGGTTGTAGAGTGTGCCACAAATCCTCGACAACCCACTTCCACTGGATAAACCTGGACTCTCCATCCTCGCTGTTCTGTTTCAGTGGCCAGATGAGCATACCACAGTTTCTTCCTCTCATATGCCTCATCTACAGCATCCTCCCATGGCACACATGGCACCTATCAGTTGAACAATGCGTGCTGATCCAGACCACAAAACAATATCTGGTCGGAGGTTAGTGGTGGCAATCTCAGGTGGAAAAATAAGCAGTTGATCAAGATCAGCCAGTATTTTCCAGTCCCTAGCAGCTTCCAGTTGTCCTGGGCGAGAATTGGTTTAAACACCTTTTCTTGGTGGTTGCTCGCCTGGGCGGAGGAATATTGTCTTCTGTTCTGTGTGTAATGTTTTGCTAGAACAGGTGGCAACTTATTGGTCATGTTACGCTTGCCTTCCAATACTAAAGCCAAACATCGCAGTACTTGGTCATGGCGCCAAGTAAACCGACCTTGGCTAAGAGCCAACTAAACATCCTGTCAAAATGTGCCTTAATGTGACAGGTGATGAACACAAAGGACAAGAGGGATCCTCTCCTACCCAGAGGTTTAGGTTCTGTGGTGATGGGAGAACATCATATGTTGACCTGATAAGGAAACTGATCCTACTCTCTTCCATTGACCAAAGGTCTTGCCAGCCCATCTTGCGTTGTTCCACACTCTCCCCTCTCATCCACTCTCCCTGCTTGGCCTGGGAAATGGCCTTTATACACCTCATCCTCTCCTCCTGCTTTCGCACCTCATTGACTACCAGCTTCCTCCTTTGAGCTGGGCCTGCCTTGTGCCATTTAGGAGGAGCTAAACTGAGCCCAAAACCCCCTCTTCCATGCTGTACCTGTCCCACGATATCATCAATTTGAAGGGCAGCCTTTGCGTCTACCACAGATTTCTTTGCTGACCACTTTCTACCAGTTTTTAACACAGGGGCTGCCTCCCTTACACATTTGTCGCGTGACTCTACTAAGGTCATTTCCAGTCTGACCTTGGCGCACTTAAACTCCTCGGTTAAAGCAGAGACTGGCAGCTGCAATATTCCTTTACTATAAAGTCCCACTCTGCTGTGGCAGCGTGGAACTCCCAACCATTTCCTGATGTATGAACTTATTAACGCTTCCAGCTTATCCACTGTTGTCAAAGAAACCTCGTACACAGTCAGTGGCCACAGCAACCTCGGCAATAGACCAAACTGAAAGCACCAGAGTTTTAGTTTGCCTGGTAGAGCACAGCTGTTTATGCTCTTCAACCCTTCCACTGCTTGTCGTCTAACTTCTCCCACTCAAACTGTGTCCTTTAGATCCCCGTCGTACCATCTCCCAAGACTCTTCACTGGCTTCTCAGAAACTGTTGGTATTGCCTCACCATTAATGAAGAATGTTTCATCTACTACCTTTCCTTTAACTATCGAGATGCTCCTTGATTTAGAGGGCTTAAATTGCATTCGTGCCCATTCAATATTATCTGTAAACTTACCCAATAACCGATTAGTGCAGGCTACTGTTGTAGTCATGGTTGTCATGTCATCCATGTATGCTCTGATTGGTGGTAGTCGCATCCCAGAAGCCAAGCGCTCTCCTCCTACTACCCATCTTGATGCCCTAATTATTACTTCCATTGCCATGGTAAAAGCCAGTGGAGAAATGGTGCATCCTGCCATTATTCCAACCTCTAGGCATTGCCATGTAGTGCTGAATTCTGGAGTTGAGAAACTAAATTGCAAATCTCCAAAATAGGCTTTCACTAAATTTGTTATTGACATTGGTATTTTGAAAAAATCAAATGCTGCCCAAAGAAGCTCATGTGGCACTGAACCATATGCATTAGCCAAATCCAGGAATGTCACATGGAGCTCCTTCCTCTCCTTTTTAGCTGATTGAATTCGTTGCCAGATAACATTGATGTGTTCTAAGCATCCTGAGAACCCTGGAAATTGAATGCCCGCTTTTTTAACTGAAGTGTCAATGAAGCCATTCTTACATTAGCCTACATCAATTGCAATTAAATGACAATTAATTGTTTGAAAATATTCCATTCATTTCGCACTTTTTTTGAAGTGGGGCCCGGCCTATATTATTTCGGTAAAAAATACTCTCTTTAAAAGTATGCTAAAGTGTACTTCGTTTCCAATTGAATACAGAGAAAAGACTTGCATTGAGTCAAAAAAAATTGTGAAATTATATTTTCTCTATTTGCTATGCTGATAATTGGGATTGTGTATTAGAAAACAATGCAAAATAGGCTACTAATCTTTCCACAGAGCCTCTGTGACAGAGGTCTCATGTTTTAAACCTCACTGCATGTCTGTCTAAAACTAAATGTTTCATCAAATTACTTTAGTGTAAAATTAATAATCTGATGAATAATCTGAAAAATGACCATTAAATGTCAATTTATTAGCAGCCTAACTTCACATACGTCACAGCAATTGTCTATTTACAGTATGTGGAGTCACGTCATTATGCTGCTCTAATTTCATAACAGTCGTCTGAGTGCATGTTAAAGGTGTGCGAGTAGTTCAGCTAGACTGTCAAAAGAAAAACTACTACGGCGCGCGAGCTGACAGTTTTTATTGTGTTCTTTTAGCCCTTTCATAAACTGAGCACGACTGAACAGAATCTGACATCTGTACGTTACTCGCTCTAATCACGTTTAACGCTTTTATCTCCGGCTGAAAAGTCTTCTGGTGTGCCGCTCTCTCAGAGTGATGGCTGGCGGCGCCGTGAGCTCAGTGAGGAAGGGCATCTCGTGCCCGACTCAAGACCCGAACTGCACGCGCATCGTGGAAAGCCTCTCCTTGTGGAACAACTCCGTGATGAGCGCGTACAAGCTGGTAGATTTACCCCCCACGACCACCTCCGTGAGTTAAGCATGTTTCTCCATGTTTCTGTCTTTTCAGTGTTTTTCATCTTTTCCTTTGCAGATGTCCAGGTGTAGCCTACTTGAAAAGATGTAGCCAAATGCTTTAAATGATTATCTTTTCATGTTATGGATTTGGATCCAGTGAAATTTACAGTAGGCTACATTTGACAATATCAACATGTTGATATGTTTGTAATGTAGGTTACTGATGATGTTTATGCTGTGCTTTTTAATATAGGCTAGAGAGACAATAGTTTAATACACTTTAAATAATATACTTAAACTGTTATAGCCTATATTTAAATGCAATAAGGGTGTTAAAAGTTAATGTCTGCGTCATATGACGAACTATGCAAAAGCGGGAAAGTTTATGGTAGATTCCTGATGGAGCACTCAGTCTTTGAGTTATACATTACCCCTAAATCTAAACAATGTAAAAACAATATTTTAAGTTATTTGTGATAGACATTTAAACACATTTGAACCTTTTCGACTTTTTTTCAAGTGAAGTGGGACAGTGATATTAAGTTATGCTGCAGCTTAAATATAAAGCGATGCATTTAGAGAAATTTACTGCCATGAAAAGTGAGAAAAGGTCTGTGTTGCTTCTGGGGTGGAAAAAAACCTCATATCAGCATAAATTCAAAGATTTTAACTTTTTCTAATTTGATAAATTTTGATAAATAAAACAGTTAATTTATACCTTTCCAAGAGTGAAGATATTCTGATAAGATATATTTAAAAACTATATGACACTCATCCTGTTTGAATATTCATGCTTACAGGACTGTGTCTTTATGCTACTGAGTCAGGTCAGACCATTGCATTATTCTCATTTGAAATCTCAATTCTTAAACACAGATGACTAAAACTGTCCTTCACTGTTAATCACTTACTTAATTTTACCATATATGGCTGGAGTTTGTGGGCTGAAGATGTATTTGGTTAAGTCCTTGGGGTTTTCCCTCTTAAGATCATTAAACACTGAGCTAACTAGAGGACTTATGAAGGCATGTCAGTGCTGCAGATGAGTAGGCCTACCACTGCATTACATATTTATGCTAATTGGGCATGTCTTGGGGTGTTCGTTTTCTCGTACATGTTGCATGTCGATGTTGCAGTTGCTATCTCTGTCTCCCGTCATTAAATGAACTGAACAGTCTGGACTGCTTCTGCTAATGGGTGTCTCACACACAACACAAAGTGTGGTAGATTTGTGTAAATTTATTAACCAAACTAGAAAACTAGGTTTAAAGTTAAAAGGCTGTTTTAATCTGCATATATACTCAGATTTTATAATTTAATTAGCTGTAAGATTGTTTTTTTTTTAGAGTGACATCCAGGCTACTCATTTAGTTTTAATCAGAATATATCTTTAACTAATGATTTGTTCCCATCTTTAATTTAACATGTCTTCATCAGAAGATGAGATCTAATTTTTTTGTTTTTTTTTACATAAATCATCTATAAATTTAATAGGACTCTGTTAATGACCTAATCTCTGTTGCGGCAATGTTTTAACACAAAATGAACAGAGGGGGTGCTGTATTTATTATATCCTGAATCTGTATTTGAGTGGAATGGGGGAGACCTTAAAATGGTCCCTAAAAGCTGGTACTGTAATGAATCACATTTTGACCTCTCTGAATTTTTTTTATGTAACTCTGAGCCTTTAGCATTTTGTTTAGGAGGATACATATTTGGGTCAAGTAAGATTTATTAGGTGATGATGAATCATATTTGTGTAATTCATACACATGCACTTATGCTTGTGACCACCCTGTCATAAAATGTGACCCAGAAACCCAATGACACCCAAGGCTGATAAGATGCTGTTATTTCCAGAACATAGTGACATAGATTTAAGTTTATCAATAACATTAATGGGGGTTTAGCGTTGTCTTGCTCATTTGTCTCAATCTGATGCCAGCAAACGTCACAGGAATACCAGCTTCACTGACCATGAGGGATTAGGATAAAAAAAAGCATCATAATCATGCGATTATAATATAATCATATTCAGGTTCATGCTCACATATAGACCTCTCAATGTGTTCTTTTCCTTCTGTTGGTAAAAAATAATGTGATCCGTGAGCAGAGACATGCAGAGTGAATATTTTGTAACTGTGGGACAGTTTGTTTGGTTCAGGAGAGTTTGTTGAGTTTGGGTTCTTGTGCTTTATATCAGTTTGTGTGGGTGCATAAATCTTTATTATGAAAACTCTTATTATTGTGAAATCTTCTGCAAGTTCCATAGCCATTCACCATAAACAAAATGAAGAAAACAAGTGTTTGACACTGAAACCCAATATATTGAATATCAACCAAAACAGACTTATTTGCCAGCCGGCTTTGGACAAAATTGGCATTTCTTTTACAGTGTCGCTCATAAAAATGCAGCATTATTTCTAATTTGAAGAGAAAAATGCCCCCAAAAGGACAACAGTACACAGTGGAACTAGGAGAAATGGTTTGAGATGAAAGAGTGGGAGGTACTGGCACTGCGTGCGTTTAGCCGAGCTCCGGCAGCTTTGCTTTCTAACTGAGCTAACTAAGTAATCATGGTAATGCAGTCAAACAAGCGCAGTGGCATCTGGAGCGCAAGAGAACTTATCCAGATATGAAGGACAGCTGTGAACATCCTGTGAATGACAGTACATTCATATCTGTTAGCTGGACCAAGGACGCAGTAACCACGCACAGCAATGTTCCATTTTTTTTAAATACTTTTTTTTCAATTTCGAGGATGACGTAACGATAAACATACTGAAACAACATACTGATTTTCACATAGCAGATTAATGTGTATCTGCACGTTCAGAATAATGCTGTTAATGTTCATGCATCTGAAGTATCATCAAAGATGATTAAAGACCTCTAGAGTTGTACTGTTCTGTCTTAACATTTTTCAGCTTAAAATAACGACACAACTAATGTTCATTAAACAGGGGAGTTGAGGTTTTGTCATAAATTTAATCACATTTAATGGAACAGATTTGCGGAGAAAAACGAAGACATGCTTTTTATATTCTTTAATATGCTTTAATCATTTCAAATCATTTGCTTAATATAGGTCACTAATCACTATAATTGATTCTTTAAAATGAATTACTTTCTGAACTACTAAACTACACAATGAATGTAATGGGGCATATCATAAATCATGCATATTATATAACATAAGCAAGCATAACCTTAATATAGCACAATTTACTGTACACTTAATTTTAATGTTCAGTTGTAGTCATTGTGGTTGAAGCAAACCTCCCATTTTGTGAATCAGTAGTGTTTACAATGACAATGAGTTTTATTTGTCCACAGGAGTGGTATGAATAATGGAAGAAAAAAAATGTATCCTGTGTTGGGTTGCTTTTGTGAGGCGATCCTGTTTCCAGCGCAAATGTTTCCATAATCAGTTATCCCACATATTCAGAAAAAAATTGTGCAAACTTTTACCTTTAGGGGGGTACAATAGCTTGTCACTAGGGCAGTGCCCTTAAAGAGACATCTTTGCACCTTTATTTACCAATAAACGTTCATAGTAGTAGGCCTACCTTAAGGGTACATATTACTACTCTAAGAATAATATTCACCTTTTAGGGGTATATAAGGTACAAATATGTCCCTTTAAGGGTACTGTCCAAGTGACAAGCTGTTGTAACCCTAAAGTTTTTTTTTTTCTAACAGTGCATCTGCATTATGATCTGCAGTAAATAAAAAAAATACTTTTTCAATACCTTTTTCTCTGGAAAAACTACATGGTTTAGAAGAGGCTGGTTCATTTTGAAACATCTTCGAAAAATCCCATGCACAGTTACTGTCATATTACCCTGAGTGAGAAACAGATGTGGGACTCAAACAGTATCTATTTCATTAGAATCCTTCTCATTCCAGAGAAATAAAACGGTCTTATCTCAGCCCTCAAAGTTTTTCATGGCTTAGATCTTCAGTTAACCCCAAACTCAGAAGTAATGAATGAAAACACACAGCAATGGCTACTGCTATATTTTGAAGATCCTTCAGAACAAATAAATTCACCAGTGCAGCTCAGGATGGAAGTGGTTTAATAAATGTTTTGATGACACAAAATGGCCCATGTCTGTTGAAGTTGAAGAGAAACATGATTTGTATCAATTAAGTTTGGGTTTTTATAAGAGGAACCATGTTCATACATCTCCAAGGTTTTAATCTTTCTTTCAACATGTCTGATTTTTATCAGTTCAAAATATCATTTGCCATCCTTGGAAGAAACAAACAAACAGGGAAAATCACTAGTGGTAAATGCAAAAAGTAAAATTCAACTTAACAAATAATCATAGTAAGGACAGCGAAATAAATCAGCTTATAAATATGTGAGTAACAAACACTTCTCATATCATATATTGTATTTTGTTTGTTGTTGTCAAAAGCTGTCTAAGCAAACCTCTTTTGGCAGAAAACTCATCTGTCTAGAAGAAACTAGCCAAATTAGACAGGTTGCGTGAAAACCATGAACACAAGAAGATATGACCGAGAAAAAAATGCATGGTTCTGTTATAGCTGACTCTGTGTTTTACATAATAATGAATGATTTTGACAGTTTGTTGGTAAAGAGTTGTCTCCACATCATCACTTGACATATACCAAAGGCAATTACTGAATCTGCTTTGTCATATTTCCTCCGTCATGGCCACATGGTTACACTCATCTGCTGTGAAATGACTTTTCCGGGAGTGCTTGTCCTGCATACATACAGCCATCTCGTGTGCCCAGAGCTCTGACACTTAAAGGTCTTTTCATTAAAGCTTTTCCTGAGGAAAATGCAGTAAACAAATGTCTGCCAAAGAAATGTTTGCGTTTGATCATAATTGCTCTAGGAAAGCCAAATATTTCCTTGTGTTCCTTTTTGCACCATATCATGCCAAGCAAAATAAATATAGTCATTATAATGACCAGCAGAATCACACAACTATTTATAAATATATGGATATGGAATATTGATTTAAGTTAAAATGATTTATTATCTGGTAGAAAACAATAGGCCTAGCAACAAGTTGAACGCTGCGATAATATTGGAATATTAATTTATATATTATATATATACAGTCGTGCTCACAATTAATGGCACCCCTGTAAAAAATAAATCTGCATCGTTTATCCTTTTGATCTTTCATTCAAAAAATTGCCAAAAATCTAACATTTCATTGAAGTAAAAGAATTGAAAGTGGGGGGAACTTCTCCAAAACTCGTTGGCCACAATTATTGGTACCCCTAGAATTTTTTACGAGTAAAATATCTCTGAAGGATATTCCCATTAATGTTTACCTTTTTTTAGCACACCAGGGTGACTAGGAACATGCAATTGTCCAGCCATGACTTCTTGTTTCACAGGAGTTTAAATATGAGGAAACACAAAGGCCAAATTTCCTTAATCATCCATCACAATGAGTAAAACCAAAGAATATAGTTCTGATGTGCAGCAAAAGATTGTTGAGCATCACAAAATAGAAAGTGGCTGTTAGAAAATAGCTAAATAATTGAAAATCCCCATTTTGACCATCAGGGCAATAATTAAGAAGTTCCAATCAACTAAAGATGTTACGAATCTGCCAGGAAGAGGACGTGTGTCTATATTGCCTTAATGGACGGTGAGGATGAAAGTTTGAGTGGCCAAAGACTCTCCAAAGATCACAGATGGAGAATTGCAGAGATTACTTGAGTCTTGGGGTCAGAAAGCCTATAAAAAAAAATCAAACCCCTACATCACCACATGTTGTTTGGGAGGGTTTCAAGAAAAATCCTCCTCGCTCATCCAAAAACAAACTCCAGCATATTCAGTTACCGGACACAACTGGAACTTCAAACGGCACAGGGTTCTGTGGTCAGATGAAACTAAAAAAAGCTTCTTGGCAGCAAACGCACTAGATGGGTTTGGTGCACACAAGGATAAAAAGTACCCCATGTGTACAATTTAATATACCGTTGGATCTTTAATGTTGTGGGTCTATTTTTCTGCTGGAGGTCCTGGACTTCTTGTGCAGATGGCCTTGTGGATTCTATCAAATATCAACAGATAAAAAATCAAAACCTGACGGCTTCTGCTAGAAATCTTATAATGGGCCGTGGTTAGATCTTCCATCAGGACAACGATCCAAAACAAACATCAAAATCAACACAAAAATGTGTTACGGAGCACAAAATGAAGCTTCTGCCATGACCGTCCCAGTTCCCTGACCTGATGAGTGGGCTGAACTGAAGAGAAGCAGCACCAACATGGATCTGGGAATCTGAAGGATCTGGAGAGATTCTGTGTGGAGGAATGCTCTCTGATCTCATCAGGCATTATAGGAGAAAACTCAGAGCTGTTATCTCTTAAGGAGATTACAAAAAGTATTTAATAAAAGGGTGCCAATAATTGTGGCCAACGTGTTTTGGAGAAAAACATTTATTTCATAATGTGATCCATTAAAAATTTTAATTTTTTTAAATAAATAAAGCTGGTATGACAAAGAGCAGAAAATCAATGAGTGCCCCACCCTTTAATATAATCAGATAACATTTTGGCAATGTTTCACTGAAACTACAAAAGTACAATCCTTTTAATATTAATATATGTTCAGTATAAACTATTGTCAGAACTGAAAACAACTGTATTTTTCTGATGAATAATGAATTGTTTAATGCAAATAATATACAATGAAGACTTCCAAAATGATGCTTATTGTTCACAAAAATAGATTATATAGGTTCTGTTTTCAATATTCTATTATGAGTTTGTAATATAGTGCAAATTCCCATTTAGATGAGATGCCTACAACTGGATGTAAGCTTTTAAAAAAAGGAGGCATCTTGAGATCTGTTAAAAAATGTGTGATCCGTTTATCATATCAAAAATATAAAAACATCTACAGTGTGTCTGTAAGTCGCTTTGCATAAAAGCGCCTGCTAAATGAAAATGTAAATGTATTGTTTATCTGCTGTCCTCCCATTTCATGAATGAATATCTTGTTGGTGTCATCTGGGTTCAGGCTTAATGGTGTTTCTTAAACAGATTGCGCCCTCTCTGATGCAAAGGTCACTATAAAACAGCAACTGCTGCTTTTCATCTGAGCTATTAATTAATGTGTGCTTCTGTGTCTTCAAGGTTGCCATGGTAGAAGAGTCAGTTTACCCTTTCCCAACGGTGGATGTGCCTGATCATGCTCATTACACTATTGGTGCTGTCATCCTTGCTGTTGGCATCACTGGCATGTTGGGCAACTTCCTGGTCATCTATGCATTTAGCAGGTGGGAAGAACAGGCTGAGGTGAAGTTGAACAAGTATTATGAAAAAAGTCAGATGGATTGGTGCATAACTTGGAATAGACACATTTACACAATAGTTAGTTCCACTCTTCCAATTTAATTGGTTTAGCGGCCTTTCAAGACCATTGAAATTTCCACAGATTTTGCTTGTTTGTGTTTGCACGAATTTTGGGGAATTTTGACGACTTCTGCAGATTTTATTGCGGTGGTGACAAGTGACTGTCTGAGTCATTCAAAGGAATTGTTCAAACACAGATTTATTCAGGAACAAAACAATTGACATTCTGAGTGAGTCATGAATCATTCACTTAAAGGGTTTGTTCAAAAACACTGATGCTATCAGGAACGAAACACGTGGTCCACGGAATACGCATAAAAGGGGACGAGGCCTGGTTGATCTGTGATTATCTACTCAACCAATTTGATTAAAAACACAGATTCATTTAGGAATTAAACAAGTGACTGTCTGAGTGAGTAATGAATCGCCACTCATCAGTTTAGTTAAAAAACACTGATTCATTTAGGAATGAAACAAGTGACTGTCTGAGTGAGTCATGAATCGCCACTCATCAGTTTAGTTCAAAAACACTGATTCATTTAGGAAAGAAACAAGTGACTGTCTGAGTGAGTCATGAATCGCCACTCATCAGTTTAGTTCAAAAACACTGATTCATTTAGGAATGAAACAAGTGACTGTCTGAGTGAGTCATGAATCGCCACTCATCCGTTTAGTTCAAAAACACTGATTCATTTAGGAATGAAACAAGTGACTGTCTGAGTGAGTCATGAATCGCCACTCATCAGTTTAGTTCAAAAACACTGATTCATTTAGGAAAGAAACAAGTGACTGTCTGAGTGAGTCATGAATCGCCACTCATCAGTTTAGTTCAAAAACACTGATTCATTTAGGAATGAAACAAGTGACTGTCTGAGTGAGTCATGAATCGCCACTCATCAGTTTAGTTCAAAAACACTGATTCATTTAGGAAAGAAACAAGTGACTGTCTGAGTGAGTCATGAATCGCCACTCATCAGTTTAGTTCAAAAACACTGATTCATTTAGGAATGAAACAAGTGACTGTCTGAGTGAGTCATGAATCGCCACTCATCCGTTTAGTTCAAAAACACTGATTCATTTAGGAAAGAAACAAGTGACCAGGGACGGACTGGGGCTAAAAAACAGCCCTGGACTTTCTCCCAAATAGGCCCATCATCCAGCCATTTGCCCCTAGCCACTAGGATGTCCTGATACTATGCCACAATACTGTAACCTATATCAGACAAGGTATTCACAGCAAGTAATATCTCAAAAACAATGATGACAATTGGGGTTTTGTTTATTAATGAAGCCTCAGTCTTCAAATAAAAACAAAAAATGTACAATGCCATTACATCTGCATTGAAAATAAAATACAAATAATGAAATGTCACTGGCTACAGAAACCCTAATTACACAAACTTGTAATTATAAAACATTTAGTTACTATATACCAGGGGGCTCCAACCTTTTTGTGTGTGAGGGCTACCTCAAGGGATAAAATAATCTAGAAGGTCTATACTCAAAAATATTTATTATACATATAACATGGTGGTGTTTTTTTACCTTACCTTTACCTTACCTTTACTTTTAACTTTAACTTTTTTATTTTTCACCATCATATGCGAAATGATAAAATATCTTGATATTCTGGTTCAACAATTGGTGAAAAATTGTAATATTATTCTCTAAAAACCTATTGTAGCATAAACATTTAGTATAAATATTTAATGCAAAATAAATAAATAAACTGCCATAACTTCTAAACAAAAACATTACTGCATTACATTTAATAGCCTACATTTATAGGCCTACATGACTATTAATATAACAGCATTTTTAATATGAATACAGGCACATTTCTGCCAAAAAAGTTTGTTTTACTAAGTTACAGTTAATTCATAAGTTGTGGAGTGAAATGTCTTCTAACTGGTTTGTTCTTGGAACAATGTTTCACCTGTTTTTTTGCGTCAAGATGTTGAGAATATCAGCGCTGTTTAATCTGGCTTTTAACTAGCTTAAATCACAGCCATCTGTGGGTTTATAATAGAGATAGAGAATTCTGCACTGAATTGAAATGCTTCTCAGTGGATCGCGCAACTCTGTGTATAATGTTCGCGTGATCGAGATCAGTCCGCACAGCTGCTTCGGCCGCGATTCGACCGTTTTTTTGGGCCGAGCTGATAATGCTCCGCGCTGGCATCCAACTTAAAGGTGCATTGCTGCCACCTACAGTACTGGAGTGTGAAACAGATTAGTGGGGGGAAAAAACAGGTTATGACTGCGTGTGTGGCGGGTGGTGGGCCGGCCCGCCGGCCGTCCTGGAGAACCGGCCGTTCTGTGATACTCCAGATCACACAGATGGCCAGTCCGCCCCTGCTGACTGTCTGAGTGAGTCATGAATCGCCACTCATCAGTTTAGTTAAAAAAACACTGATTCATTTAGGAACAAAAGAAGTGACATTCTTTATGAGTGAGTCATGGAATCAATTAAAAGACTGTTTGTTAAGGAACGAAACAAGTGACTGTCAGAGTGAGTCATGAATCAGTCACTCAACTAAGTCGTTCAAAAACACTGATTCAATCAGACATGCAACTCCACTATATTGTGTTTATTGTTGACACACCGGTTTGACTTTGTTTGGAGCTATTTGCGTTACACAGGGAGGCTGATTTTCTCACAGACATAAAACTAATAGAATCTACCTAATGAACAGAGAAATGAACAATTGATTGTTTTGTGTTTGTGTGTGTGCATGCATGTGTAGGAGCCGGACCCTGAGGACACCTGCCAACTTGTTTATAATAAACCTGGCCCTCACAGACTTCCTCATGTGTGTCACCCAGGCGCCCATCTTTTTCACCACCAGCATGCACAAGAGATGGATCTTTGGGGAGAAAGGTACAAACGTACATGCATGGTTTCACTAAATATGTGGACATGTTGATAAAATGTTTGAAGCAAAATGTGATTTGCTCATTTATGAGCTCAAACAGGATCAATCATATTTTTTCACAACTTACAAGTACAGCCAATCTGTACACACAGACAGTCAAATGCAGACTTATCCAGCATTATCTTTGCAGATAGATCATTAAAAGTTAATGCATAGGCAGTGTCTGAAATAAAATATGCAGGTCCATGATTTATTGTACTGTACTTTTTGAATTATAATGAACGGATTTAAGATTAAATGAGAGTTAAATGGTTTAATTGAATGAATCACTTATAATGTTGAATAGTTTCAAATGAAGGAGAGGTTGCCCTCGGAAGACGGCCTTGGTTTGTCAGTACTAATAACTATTCATACCGGTCTTTCTTCATATTTTTGAGGCTAAATGACAAATGTATGTAACCTTTTCTAGTACAGTTGTTTCTTTTTCATCAGTTTACAAATCATCTCTCTAAATTGTTCTCAAAACATGTGCATCAAGGCTTTTCTTGTTGATTTTCAGCACTCGCTAGTCATTTTGCTCAGCTGTGAGATGCTGCCTTTGTGACATTAAATGATGGAAGGCTCTTTTTCCCCCTGAGGTGTTTTAAATGTCAGTTCTTATCATGGCCGAATCTTAATTGCCTTCATCAGCCTTCACTGGGATTTGTTGGAATCTTCTGCTTGCTGACTTTTGCAATGAGAGATTGTGATTATTGTAGTGATTGATGCTGATCTTTTGTGTTTAGGGAGTTTACTGGGCAGTCTTGAAATTGTTGTCCGCTCTTTCCCTGTGACAGGAAATCAGGTCACCAAGTCAAAGTTTAAGTGTGTTCGACTTGAAGCGGGAGTGTGCGCAGATCGATCTTTGTATGACATCAAAGAACCATGAGAACAATTAGAGAGCAAAGTAGTTTTGTGGAACAAAACCACAAGGAGAAGGGCAACATTCAGCAACTGACAAATCAATGAGTGAAACACAAGGGCATAGGGGTAAACGAGATTAACAAAATACTGAGTTAACAAGACACACCTGGGAAGACAATCAAGGGAAAAAAACTACAAAGGACTACAAACATGGCACTCAGGACAGGAAGTAACATAAAAGTCCAGGGACAAACACAGGGACATAAATGTACTGTGTCTGCCTGTATCAAAATATTATCCTGTAAAACACCTAATTTGTCACAGCAGACACCAAACACTTTAATATTGTGTGGAAATGTTGTGTAATTTCCACTCAAAGCAGTTTATTCAGCATATTGACGGCATCTGCTCCATTGATTTCCATACAGAACAGCCTCTGATCTCCCTTTTGGGATCCTGACACGTTATGCTTGTCTGAGTGGAGTTTGAAGCCTCCCTCATGGAGCAGGGGCTCTGACCCAGTTTCATTTGGTGGAAAGAGTTAAAATATGCTCTTCCTTTTTCTGTAAGGTCTGACTGCACAAGGCACAGTTATGACCACAGTTAATTCGATTGTGACAATCGTAGGCTTGATCCCTGTGAAAGCTTTCACAATCAATCAGATACATCTCACAAAATGCTCTCTTCCAGGATTAACCTGAAAGCATAATCTACTGACAAGGTGTAAGAGTAGACATCCTGATGTTTGAGAGGATTATCTTCAATAACAGAAGCTTCTGTTTTGTAATTATTAAAGTGCATCCTGTTAATGTGTTCTGTGAAAAGCAAGCACAGTTACCGTGAATCAGACTGAATGCATTGCCTCTCATCCTGTTGTTTACATATGCTTTGATAGCACAGAAGACAGATGTGTGTGGATGTTGAGGAGGTGGCAGACTGTGTCTGTCGAGTATAATGGTGTTTCTCTGCTCTGCTCCACAGGTTCTTCTTTAGCTGACCTGATGTGTTATGTGCAATAGCCTTCAGACAGACCCAAACAGACTGTTATCTCTTTCTGTATTTGTGTGTTTATGTGACGTTGGCTCCACTTAGAACAGTAGTGTTACTATGGCCCTGTTTACACCTTGTCGATCGGATCACAAGGAAGTAGACGAAGAAGACACATTTCTGTTTACACCTGGTGTTTAAATCCGTCTCTTCTGTCCACTTTCAACCACTTCTGTTTTGAAACATTTCTTTTCTTTTGATTTCTTCGAGAGGGTTTATGGGTGGGTAAATGCATGGGCTTTTTCAGATCTTTCGATCTAATGGACAAAATAAGCTCAAGCAATTTAAATATGAACACGATCGGAGACGACGAAAAAACATACGGAGGGCAGCAGCTTTCGTTTCTGCTCTGATAGATGCGAGACCATGGCGAACACTGTGAGTGTGTTAGAAATCAGGAATGGTTGAGAGAACATTGTGTTTGGTGTGTTTTTCATCTTCAAACCAAACTTGGGTCTTCAGCCAAAGTTTAAATCCCATCTGGCTAGCACACTTCCCATAATGTTTACACGTTAGGTCAGTAGGCAGAGAGTAGGTGGTCTTTTGTGGCTGTTCGAACACATTCGACCACATGAGCATTTACACTACGAAAGCAATCCAGTCGAATGCGTTTTAGATAACCTCTGGAAGTGGTTGAAAGTGGACAAGCTCAAAAAAATGTAAACCCCCTTTACACCCGTTTTGAGCATTGTCCACTTGTGATACGATCGACCAAAATGCATCTTAATACCTGGTGTAAACAGGTTGATGTGCATTTGGATATGTAGGGTGGAAGTTAATTTAAAACAGTGATTTTTAATCAGGGGGCTGAGGGGGCATCAGCAAACTTGGTGGCCTTAAGATAACTTAAAATTATTTAAAATAAGTTAAAACAACTAAAAATCTTTTGTAGAATCAGTGTTCCTGGAAAAAGTGTGCCTGGAAATGTCATGTAAATCAGAAAATCAAGTAATGAATATACATTTCACTCGTTATGACAAGCTCTAAAGTATTTTATTGGGTAGAAATTGAGTTAAAAAAACATGCATCCTTAATCCTTATCCAGTAAGTTGTCCAGTATGACAACGGGGGAGCCTTGGAGTCAAAAAAGAAACATTCAAAAAGAAAAACATCCATTCTAAGTTTATTCAGAGCAGATTATTTTAATGAACTGCTGCCGCAGAAGTTGGCCCTTAAATAGAGCCAGCAGCGGTCTGTGTTTCGGTCAGCCAAGAGTCTTCAGGCCTAAAATCTGGTTCACACTGACCCCAAAAAAACAGTAACCAAGATTTCAAATGTTTTAAGAAGTTTGCCGCTGGATTTAGATTTTGTTTGGAAGCATGAATGTTATTTTCACACTAACAGAATAAATACCAACAGGGTGAACACCCTTATCAAGCAAAACTGCTAGAATTGATCACAGAAATATATCAGTGTATAAATTGTGCTTGGTTACAGACTCACTTAATTCTGTTCCTCCTGTCTCTCCAGGTTGTGAGTTGTATGCATTCTGTGGGGCTTTATTTGGCATCTGCTCCATGATCACGCTCATGGTCATCGCAGTGGATCGATACTTCGTGATCACGCGGCCGCTAGCCTCTATTGGTGTGCTGTCTCAGAAGAGAGCTCTGCTGATCCTTCTCATAGCCTGGGCCTATTCACTTGGCTGGAGCCTTCCACCCTTCTTTGGATGGAGTAAGTGTAGTATATTGTTTTATCATTTTAAACTTAAGCTATATTTCCACTTACTTGGATATTTCTACTGTATCTAACAGTCCTGTAACAGCATTCGTACACAATTAAGAGACATCCCCTCATGTGGCTCGAAACCTGGATGACTTTCTCTCTTCTGCGGAACACAAAAGTAGATATTTTGAAGAATGCAGGTAACCAAACAGTTTTGGTGACAATTGATTTCCATTATGGACAAAAAACTCTGAGACAGTTCTCAGAGTACCTTCTTTTATGTTCAGCTGAAGAAAGAAGTTTAAGTCAAGTCAAGTCACTTTTATTTATATAGCGCTTTATACAATACAGCTTGTTTCAAAGCAGCTTTACAGTGATAACAGGAAAAAAAATTATGCATTTTGGCTGTTGTTCAGCTGAAGTCAGTTCAGTGTCATCATCCAGCTCAGTTCAGTTCTCATACAACAGCGTCAGTACAGTCAAATCAATAATATTGTTGAATATTAAGTGTCCCCAACTGAGCAAGCCATAGGCGACAGTGGCAAGGAACCAGTTCTCCTCTGGCCAAGTGTGGTGCTTTGTTAATGGAGTCGACTATACCTTTGATGCTAATTTAAAAATTATTTAACATGATGCGCCAGTCTTTTATTAGCTCAAATCTTTTGGGACAGGTACTCTGAGCATTCATGTGTGAGCACACCAGCATGTGAGCTGTTGGCCAATAGCTAGCTTTGCTAAAAAATTGCGTTGTTGGACTCTGATCTGTGCTGTGTAAAGGTGGTCTCTGAGGACCGAGGCTTTTAGCTTAACAGGGATAGACTGGTAAAGCCTGGTGCTTTTGCCTCTCTAGCACTTACAGGCAACCTGCTCTTCACACGAAGGGTGTCTGTCTCCTTTAAGGTTTCTGACAGCTTATATCTTCACCGCTGATCGGCACACCAACCTCAAACCTCAGGAAACTGATGATTGGCAGGCTACACGCATGAAAGTTAGATTGTGATAAGAAATACTATAATTACAGTGTACCTAAAAAATATCCTCAGCTGTGTGTGCATTGGGTTGTATTTCACTGAGTTTGCTCAGCAGCCAGCAGTAGTCTTAAATCCTTTTTCTGTGTGAATTTGTTCCAGTTTTCACAATATTTCACTGGGTGTAAACGGCTTAACTGCTGGCTATCCTTCACTTCCCTCCTCAAATTCTGTTTGGTCTGCCTCTGTTTTGCAGGTGCTTATGTTCCTGAAGGGCTGTTGACCTCTTGCACCTGGGATTATATGACCTTTACACCCTCCGTGCGAGCTTACACTATGCTTCTCTTCACCTTCGTCTTCTTCATTCCGCTTATCGTCATCATCTATTGCTATTTCTTTATTTTCCGATCCATTCGCAGCACTAATGAGTGAGTTCTTTGATACAGGTTCAACAATACAGTATAAATTAATTATACCAAACGTCAGCAGTGTTCCAAAGCTGTTAAAATGTCTTTTGTATTATATATATATATATATATATATATATATATATATATATATATATAATATATATATTCTATATTTTAATGAGCTTTTAATGTCAATAAACCATTTTGTTTAACTGTTCCTTTTTGTCTTTGGAAGAGCTGTGGGCAAAATTAATGGAGATAACAAGAGAGACACAATTAAACGATTCCAACGACTGAAAAATGAATGGAAGATGGCAAAAATTGCTCTTATTGTCATTCTCATGTATGTCATCTCCTGGTCTCCATATTCAACTGTGGCACTGACAGCCTTTGCTGGGTAAATTAATCCCAATCCTCACACATAATATGATATATAATATAATATAATATACCATTTTAATGCTTTCATTTTTGTGCTATTTGATTTAGCGCCTTTTGTGTTCATTTAGATATTATTCAACTTATAGTCATTTTGTAGACTACAAATAGAGGTAATAACATATGAAATGAGATATTCATAAAATAGTGTTAATTAATGTATGAACTTATTTTGCATGTGTTTTGCAGGTATGCTGATATGCTCACACCATATATGAATTCAGTTCCTGCTGTGATAGCCAAAGCTTCAGCCATCCACAATCCCATCATCTATGCCATCACACACCCTAAATACAGGTACAGGAGTCTCTATGTATCGTTGTCAGTTTAGTATATTTGGGACAATATTGGTGACTCCGTGACACTTTTTGACTCCAGAAGTGGTAAAAACCGTAATGGTAAGTGGTAAATGGACAAACTCACTTTTCATTAATGCAGAACATTGGTCAGATTACATACATTTAGATTACCTGGTCTGGCCCCATTAAGACTAAACACCTGGGGCAAATTGTGATTATTTTAATTTTACTAGTGTCTAGCTCACTGAGCCATTCATTCACAAATTGATCAGAAACAGGCCTTGCTTCTGGGTTAAAAGCTGCAGTCCGGCATTTTCCCTCTTTGTCGCCATCTCTGTTCGAAATCTGCAATTGCAGTCATTCGCGGAATTATCAACTTTACGTGGGTTGTAGTTCAACACCCTCGTCTCCTCCAATAGTATCCAGCTGCAGACCCGCAGCACCACCAGTTTCAGAACCCCAGCGCCAGAACCGGAAGTAAGGGGCGGAGCTTACGTTCTAACACCAGCGCCAGGACCGGAAGTGAGGGGTGGAGCTTACGTTCTAAACCGAGTAACGCCACCTAACGCTTTGGAGCGTAATTTGCTTAGACACGAAACGGCATTATTACACACGAAACCATACTTTAACGTATTATAATGATACATTAAGGTATAGTACAATAAGCATTTTAAAACATTGATTTTGTGTAATATAATTCTATATAGTTATCCGTTTCATTGTATTATGAGTTACTTCCTGATCATGATGGTGAAAAATAATGCTTGAAACTTATGGTCATTTTATATAAAATATACTTTATTTCACAAGAACATGTGCAGCATGCATTTTTCTTTATGTAAAATAATGTCAAAAATCTAAAAAGAGAGAGAAAATCCGGCATTGTTTTAAAAGAAACCATAAAAATGTACCGTAGCATAGGCTACTTATTCAAATAATAGCCGAGTCCCAAATAGACGATTGTCTCTTTTACACGCCTGGTGTGGCTGCAGGTCTGGGTAAATATAAGTCCGGTCTCAAATAGAGGTCGGGTCTGTTTTTTAGTTTCAGGTTGTATTAAATCTTCTAAAACCCGTCAGATCGTCCGCTTTTTGGCGGTCGCCAAAGCAAATTTTTGTCCCGCCAAAGCCTATTTTGATCGGTGAGTGATGTAGAATAGAATGACTGCTGCGCATGACAGGGCAGAGCAGAGAGAGAGAGAGCCCTGGCCGCGCGCGCGCACTCTCACGTCTTCAAACAACACTTGCTCTTTATTTGTCACATACCAGTTATAGTTCATACAACGAGCAGTGACTCACTGTGTAATAAAAACATACCCTAAATATTATTTAAAAGGTGCAACAATTTTAAATATTTTTAAATACTTGCAAAAATAACCATGCTTGTGTCATTGTAAATAATTCCGCCCCTCCCTCACTTCCGGTTCTGGCGCTGGGGTTCTGGCACTGGGGTTCTGAAACTGGTGGTGCTGCGGGTCTGCAGCTGGATATATCTCCTCGACACGGCACAGCGCGGATGAACACAGTGTTTGAGGAGAGTGTGCAGCTGTCAGTCACCGCGCCGATGTGGATATTGTCATTCAGAATCACAGATGATTCTTTTTGGAAGTATGACCAACATAAGAATTTTCACCGGGAAATGTCATCTGAACTAGTAAGAAACATTCACTTTTGTTCTGGTTCTGACATTGCAGTAAATCGCGCTGATTAAATCTAACAATTGCTTATAAGTTATCATTTCACGCAAAACCGTGCAAAGTAGCTATACTATGTTCTCTAATTGTTAATGTTAACAACGTCAGCAAGCATTGCGTGACTACATCATGTAATGTCCTTCCGATATTATCCTTGTTTTCGCATGGGTCCGGTTGCAGTCTCTTTTTTTCTGTAGCCACTCCGAAGTCCGAACGAAGTCTTTTGCATTTTACAGCGGGTGAGTCTCTAGTTGTCACTGATGATGATCGTCGTTTGAACCTTTCTGGATCCGCCATCAAATTGATAAGTTTAATTATATCAAGTGCTGTGAGAAAAGGCTATAAATCTCTACCTCCAACATCCTCACACGCAATATAGCTTATACTAGCCGAGACTCCTTCTTTATGTGTACAGATGTGACGTAATGACGCAAAGACATGCTCGAATCTCCCGCGGAAATCCACCAGTACCACTAAAATTAAAAACATTATTACAAGCTTACCGTTTTGCATCGAGCTACGGCAAGCAGATAGTTTTGAACACTGGCTGGTTATGTATTTTATCAAATATGTATTTTGGATAATTTTTAACCCCAAAAAAGCTACGGACAGCAGCTTTAAAGTGTAAAATTCCATTTTGATTGATTTAATTAACCTAAATATCCATTTGAGCATAAAGAGTTATTAATCCAGCAGAAGCGTCCTGATGGTATGGTACTGTATCATGCGCCTACAGGCCTGCTGGAGTAAAAAGTCCTTTTGATTCGATTTTCTCCCAAAACACTAAACCACAGACCCCTTTGCTGCCTTTAAAATGGAGTTGAAAACATTTTTGTTTTTACATATCTGATACCAGTCTTTAGTGTTATTTTGGTATTTATTACAAACGGTATATGCTTTTTTACTATAGTATTGTAATGTATTGAATTAGCCATTTTTATTTTTTATTTTTAGTTTAAGTCATTTTGTTACATGCTTTTGTCATTTTTTGTTATATTTCTATTTAGCTTTAATTTATTAGTAATTTCAGTTTTAGTTTTTAGTAATTTTAGTACTTCTGCTTAAACTTAGTTAGATTCCAATGGAAGTTTTGTTCAAATGAATTTAATATTTCTAATTATATATATTTTTTTGATTTGATTATTTATTTTATATTATTTTTATTTATACTGAACCTACTTGGATCTTGTCATACTCTATGTAAATATGGATCCACCATGTCTAAGCTGTCTTATCCCGGTATCTCATCTGTGTCTGTCAGGTTGGCCATAGCGAAATACATTCCATGTCTCCGTGTGCTGTTGTGCGTCCCGAAGCGTGACCTCCACTCGTTCCACAGCAGCTTTATGTCCACACGTCGTTCCACCGTCACAAGCCAGTCCTCTGATATGTCCGGACAGTTCCGCAGAACCAGCAATGGCAAGTCCCGGCTCTCCTCAGCCTCCGACAGCGAATCTGTGAGTGTGTTTGCCTGAAGGACCTGTAGTTTTGTTTATGACTCTTCTTATGTGAGTAAATGTGATTGTAATGGATGACCTCTTTCTTCTCTTCAGGGCTGGACAGACACTGAGGCTGATCTCTTGAGTTTGAGCTCCAGGCCTGCCAGCCGACAGGTGTCTTGTGACATCAGCAAGGACACTGCGGAGATCCCAGACTTCAAACCATGCAACTCATCCAGCTTCAAGTCTAAGGTCAAAAGCCATGACTCGGGCATCTTTGAAAAGGTGACCTCACAGGCTGAATGTATTCCATATGTGGCAAGTATCAAAGGAATGTAGCTTGTTTAACAATTTTCATCCTCAAGTCTTCGCAAGCCTCACTGAAAGTATGCCCTAGCGTGTTTCTTTAAAAACAAATCTTACTCCACTCTTGGATGTTGCTGTATGTACCTGAAGAGTGACCTCACTCTCTCATTTCTGCCCTAGAGCTCCTCTGATGTGGATGATGTGTCTGTGGTCGGAATCGTTCAACCTGATCGTACTTTTCCTTTAGCTGTAAGTCTGACAGTGAATCTCTTCAATATAATAGTTCAGTATAAACCAGTCTCAATGCTGACCTGCACACCTCAAGCTGTTGCGGGATCCTGTAGGCGGTATGATTTGTAAAATGTCCTGACCTCAGGAACATTGTGTTCTGGTGCCACTGGCAGAGCAACTCGCCCAGGCAATCAAATTTGTGCATGAAAAATCTGCAAGCGTATTTAAATTTCTAGAATGCTATTTGATGACTCGTGCTTTGTAGAAAACAAAATGGTTAGTGAATTAATTAGAATATTGATTACAAAAGTAAAGCATATAATAAAATGACTGTTCCATTTTTCCAATAATCTTTCTGTGGAAGAAATATGTGCCCTTGAAAGAATAATTCTAATAATCATCTTTCATACGTGAATGCCTATTAATTAAACCGAGAATTATGCTTATTTTATTCTTATTTAATGTACAATAATGGCTGATAATCGACAAAATCTAAATGTTCTTTTGTGCTATTTGCAGGCTGGTGACATGACAGACATGCCAGTTTCAAGAGGTGCGATTGGTCGGATTCCCAGCATTTTCATCACCTCTGAGTTTAGCTCTCTCCTGCCCTCAGTACGATCCTACAGAAGCAGCTGCTCAAGTATGACCAGTTTTGGGGCAAATCTGCCCAGAAGAGACTCTCGTGGAGGAGTCCAGCAGGGGGCAGTGCTTCTCTCCATTGCTGCTGAAACACCTGAGGCCGCTCATTTAGACAACCCTCGCCCCAAACATACATAGTGTTTATACCACTCGCCATCTCAAGCTTACCTTTTAGCATTGTGTCAGGGTTCAGTGTTTCTTTTTTTTTGTGAGTTATTATGTTTTGTGGTGTAGACATTTAGTAAGAGAGTAAGGGAGAGTTGTATTACAGAATGTAAAATAGTCATACATCGATTCTCTTTTCTTTTACACATGTAATGCATTTTTATGATGACCTCAACTACTACAGGATGACCAGCACCTTTGTTTCCCTCTGTTTTAAGGGTGTATTTAACAGACAGTGCTTTAAATCAGGCAAAGTTACTTATGGAGACTTGGATGGATGGAGAGAAAGGGCATCTCAAGTTCTTTTAGTCTAGTCATCAACCTCAAATGGCATTTACAGGTAATATTAGCTTACTTAAGGAGTTGTTTGTGTTTGCTTTAGTATTAAGCTTTAAAGGTTTGTGTTTCTTGAACATTATACATACTATTTCGAAAGTTGTTTCCTTTAGCCTTAAGCTTTTTTTATAATGCCATTTTCAACCAACATACCTGATATTTATGTCATCACTCGAAGCGAGACTCTGTCTGGATGTGTTTTGCTTAACAGGGTCATTTTAAGACTGCGGTATGTGAGTTTTGCTCTTGAGGAGCTCAAATGTTCTCTGCTCGCCTCCACAGAACTTAAAGGTATGCAATATAAAGACATTGAAACATCATGTTTAGGAAACATGGTGATTTCTGGTATGGATATTAATTGAATCATTAAACGTCTTAGAACTTAAGACTTAACTTACCGATAAATTACTAAATGTTGATAAATTACTAAATGTTATTTAATCAGAGCAAAAACAACAACAAAAAAACTTCCAAACCATGTAATAAACTTAAAATAATGATTTATATTTTAGCTGAATTTTGCTGGAAATTATATATATATATGTCATTCACCCGTGCCTGTCGTGTCATATCCGTACACCGAGATAACCATTCACGCAGAGCTGAAGCACAACCAAAACAATGTTCTTCTACAGGATGGATGCAGTTTTATTTTGTGACCAATAGAGGGCCAAAAGTTACTAATAAGGCCTGTCCCAATGGACCCTTTTCACATGACGACGTCATACCTGCAGTGCACCACTCTATAACTTTTGATTATCCGATGGGACACACTTACAACCTAGCATTGTAAAAATGCAAAAGCTTTATTTACACTTTTTGATTTTTAATACTCTGCACATTAAAACAAACTTTAAAATGTCTGTTCAGTCCCTACAATAAAAAAATATGACTCTTTAAACTTACTCAATTTAATTATGGACAGTGGTTCCACACAAGCAAATTATTTTTTATTAACATTAATGGAATTTGTTGAATCTATGTAAGCTCCTTGTGTTGTGACAACACAACTGAATCAGAAAGAATCTATGTGAAATAGTAATGTCCAAACAAATCAATGGAATTGCTTCCCTGTAACTGATACAGACTTAACTGAACCGATATAGACTTTCATCGAACCTTCGTACAACAAGGTTAAAAACTAGTTCAAATGTGGCCATTGTGGACATATTTTCAACATCATTTTTAGTCTCATTTAGACAGAATTACTTTGACTATTGCTGTCAGATGATCTTAGTGAGAATTAACAGAAGTTTAGATGTTGATGTTTCATTTGAAGTGTCACCATTGTGGTGATCAGTGTTTGCTTTAGTTGGGCTCTTGGTCCCCTTAATTTTTACTTTAGCTTTTCTGTGGCTGCTGTATCTCTGTGTTTGTATAACACAGTCGATGTTGCAAAGAAAGTCAAGAATAAGTAAGATCAGGTGTTATCAGCTTCATGTTGATGTTGATGATGAAAGCTTCACAAAACATGCATCTAATGTTGTCAGACACTTTCGCATTTCTAGCCGCCACCATGTGGATCTGCAATACTGGCACCAATAGCATTTTTATGATCACTTATTTAGAGGTGGATAAAAATTATGTGCATACGATGTTCAGAGCAAACATATCATGTTGTCACACACAGACATCAAGATTTTGCATATGATTCACAACAATGATGACAATAAAAAATGGTCATGCTGCCTGCAATGCATGATGGGTAGCTTTCATAGTTCCTCATTATTGATTCCCAAGCTTTTTTGTTTTGATTGTCACCGTTGTTGTGATTCATATCCAAAATCATGATGTCTGTGTGTGACTACATAATACATTTGCTCAAAACATCATGTGCACATGCTTTTTATATTTTAAAAATATTTCTTATTCTATTGGCACCAATATTGCACTTCCACAAGGTTGGTAATGTCAAACATAAATACAATTTTAAACTAAACATTTGAAACTTGATTTGTGATGATTATTTCATCATCAACATTGAGCTGATAACACCTGATCTAACTTTTTCTTGGCTTTCTCTGCCACAACAATTGTGTTATACAAACACACAGTTACAGCAGCCAATGAAAATTTAATGTAAAATCTACAGGGACCAAGAGCCCAACTAAAGCAAACACTGATCACCACAATGGTGACACTTCAAATGAAACAAATATCTAATAATCTAATTATCTAAACTTGTGCTAATTCTCACTAAGATCATCTGACAGCAATAGTCAAAGTAATTCTGTCTAAAAGAGACCATAAATGATGTTGAAAATATGTCCACAATGGCCACATTTGAACTAGTTTTTAACCTTGTTGTACGAAGGTTCGATGAAAGTCTATATCGGTTCAGTTAAGTCTGTATCAGTTACAGGGAAGCAATTCCGTTGATTTGTTTGGACATTACTATTTCACATAGATTCTTTCTGATTCAGTTGGTTGTCACAACACAAGGAGCTTACATAGATTCAACAAATTCCATTAATGTTAATAAAAAATAGTGTGCTTGTGTGGAACCACTGTCCATAATTAAATTGAGTAAGTTTAAAGAGTCATTTTTTTTAGTGACAGGTTAAGTGAATTAAATGCAATACAATAGTGTTTTGGTGGTAAAAGAAATATATGTGTGTTACTTTAACAAAACATACTTGGGTAAAAATAACAGAGCTACAAAACCATTTTTTTGAGTGTATGTAATACAATTTTATTGTAGTGCTTCTAAACAAGTGTTGAAAAATAAAAAAAAGTTTTACAAAATACACATACTCATCTCTGCACCAATAAGATGAACAACACTTTCCCCCGGTTCCACAGACAAGGCTTAAAGTCCCAGAGTAAAATGCATATTTGAGCTGTTTTAATCTTCAAATATGTCAGTGCCATTGTTTTGTCTCAATATGCACACTAGTAATCTTTTTTTTTTCTTTTTTCTAAGGCATGTTTATAAAAGCTACTTAAATGTCCTAATTGAATTTAAGGCCTAAATCCTGGCTTAGTCTAAGCCCTGTCTATGAAACTGGCCCTTTATGTTTTACTACCAAATTATATGTAATATCTAATTAACTTAACTTACATAGACATAGAGATTAGAGTGTGGATTTATTGTGTTTTAAGGGCGTTTTCAGACCTGTGACACATACACATTCTCTTTAGTGGCCAAAGTGTGGGTATTGGGACAGACCCATAGTGTAGCTTTAAGATAGGAAGTTTCTGTAATGCTGCCCCTGACCTCTGATCATCTGAGTTTTGAAAGCATTGTAGTTATTTCTGGTTTGTTGTCATTTTTTTAAATATATATCTTACTAAATGTACATATATGCAGTAAATGTGTTTTTATTTCTAAAGGTCTTATTATTAATGGCCTCTGAAAGTAAGATCAATAGAACCCTGAGAACTTCAGCATTAAGAATGTGGAATTCATTTAATCATAGTTTGCAAATATGTGCTATCCCATTATTGAAAGTAGAAACAGAGCTATTCAATTCACTATATAAATCATAAGCCGTATATCATCTGTTTATCATATTTTTAAACAATTTAATCTAGTGATTGGAGAGATAAAAAGTTTTTGTTTTTTTTTCGCTTTGGAAATAACAAAGAAGTAATCTCAAACAGCCCACGCCACAGAATTCATATGCCTGAAGCAGGGACACATCATTATCTCTGTAAATCACGCCAACAGAGAATTTGCAACTGATTTCATGCATGCTGCTGTGTGTTTAAATCCATCAAGATGAATGACCCTATATGGATATCGATCATATGCTCACATGTACACCACCTCTACAGACAAGTTGATTTTTAATATTGTAAAAATGTAGTTGTGTTTTAAATTTCAATTTCAATTAAAAAATTAAATTTAAATAATCACGTTAGCATACACAATCAAATCATAGTCGGCTATTAATGTTTAAACAATTATGTTGCCTTTTTACTCAACGACAGGTCGGAAAGACTGACTACTTCAAATGTGATGGTGGCTGCTCTTCTAGATAGTTCTGGAGGACACGTTTAGCAAATAAACATTGTGGCACTCTTTGTTAGATCTAGTGTTAGTACTTTGTTGAGTGGTTTATTTGTTCATGTAAAGGAATCATTTATTTGTCCAGATGACCACAGTCTGTGGACTCTTTATATTGTTAAGTATATCTCAGATTGTATCCGAGTTTATATTTGTTAATGTATCCATTTAAATGAAAGACACCGTATATATATGTATGTATCCGACACCAAGGAGAAGATTATTGTATATTTGTAACGGTATATCCGTTAAATAAATAGGAGCAACTACATTAAAAATACAAAAATATTTGTATTTTTAATGTAGTTGCTCCTATTTATTTATTTATTTTTTAAATCAAACTGCAGTTCTACACATTGTTTCCTTTTTCAATAAAATATGTAGGAGCAAGTTCTTTCATAATCAAATTTGCAAGTATTATTGTAATGTTTCCTTTGAAAAGGATATTTACTGTGTCGAGTGGCATCATCACTGAACTTATAAAATAGCTGTTCTATTAATAGAGATGTTTAGCCATTAGACAGTGCTGTCCTCGTCAACACATGCTGCCTGTCAGTAATGATTTGATCATCAATTTTCTCAACCATAACTTTTAGGTTTTTTAATTTGCATTTAGGGGATAATAGTAAAAGTTGCTTATAAGAATGGCTTTTACTCTAACTGGAACTCAATAAATAGGGAGGGATACAGACTTTACTATAGGCCGCCTATTATTCTCTTGCTATGGTTCTGCCAGTAGTCTACTGGCAGAACCATAGCAAGAGAATAATACTGAGTAGTGAGTTAATTGGTTGAATAGACCCAAAGGATAAACACATCTGCCCCCGTCTGGCCGCATGCTGAACTGCATGAGCCCACCTTTTGGAATGTGTGCAAAGGATTGTGGGTGAATGCAATAGACTTGTTGCATCCTTCAAAATGGCTTTTGAAATTTTTTGAAAGGTAGTATAAACTCTAGAATTCAGTTCAGTATAGGCTTGGAAATATTGTGCATAAATATAAATAATTTGCTGTTGTATGAGTGTAAAATGTGTTGATTGGACATTTCAGTCTCACATCAATGTACCCTGGATCATTTATAGAGCATGTTGTCTGTGGTTAAAATGCTCTTACAGAGTCCGTTCATTGCAACTGAACCAGGTTGTCATTTTCAAACAATGAACCATCTGCTCTTTCAGACAATGCCCTCATGGGGGCAACTTGTCATTTGCCAATTCAGCACAGCAGTGGCTCTTAAAAAACACATGACATTAAACATGACAGCAAGAAATGTTTGCACAGCTCTGCCCAATAGTCCTCCATGTAAATGGGTTGGAAAAGTAACAAACGTATTCCTTAGCACTGTGTAAGGGGTATACAGTCAAAGACCCAGAACCAGATATGAA